TGAGACAGAAATCATGAAAGCAATCCCATTCACAATAGCTGCAAAAAAAAAAAAACTATGAATAAACTTAGCCACAGAAATGAAAGACCCCTGCAGTAAAGATTACAAAGCACTAATGAACAAAACTGAAGATGTCCCAAAAATGGAAAGACTTCCCATGTTTTGGGATTAGAATAATTAATACTGTTAAACTGTCTGTATTCCAAACAGTGATCTATAGATTCATTGCTCTGTCCAGCAAAATGCTAGGAAAAAATCCTAAAATTTATATGAAAACACATTAAGACCAAATAACCAGGCAGTTTTGAACAAAAAGATCAAAACTGAAGGTATCACAGTACCTGATTCTGCAGTACTCTACAGAGCCATAGTAATAAAAACAACATGATATTGACATAAACATGGACACATGTATCAGTGGAACAGAATGAAGATCACAGAAATAAATCCACACATCTTCAGCAACCTGATTCTCAACGAAGGTACCCATCAAAACCATTACACTGGAAGGATAGCCTCTTGAACAGATGGTTCTGGGAAACTGATACCCTCATGCAAAAGACCTGAGTCTTCATATCTGTCTCACACTGTGTGCAAAAATCAACTCAAGGTGGATGAAAGACCTAAATTTAGAATTTTAAGACCACTAGAAGAAAACAGTGCAAATACTTCAAGATATTAGTATAATCAATGATTTTCTAGATAGGACCCCAAAAAGCACAGGAAACAAATGCAAAAATTGACAGGTAGGATTTCATTAAAAAGCTTCTGCAGAGCAAAGGAAGCAATGAGCAGAGTGAAGGAACCTACAGAATGGGAGAAAATATTTGCTAACTATTTATCTAACTAGACTAATATGCAAAATATGTAAAGAACTCAAACTTAATAAAACAAGTAATTCAGTTTTGAAAGGGTGGCTAGACATGCTGGGATACACTGTTAGTGCTAGCTATGTGGTAGGCAGAGGCAGTAGGATCACTTTAGCTCAGGAGTTTAGGGTTAGTCTGGACAGTATAGCAAGGCTCCATCTCAAAAAAGGTGGGGATGGCAAATGACAGGAATAGACACTTCTAAAAAAAATACAAATGGCCAGAAAAGTTTAGTATCATTAGCCATCAGGGAAATGCATATCAGGGAAAGCTATAATGAGATACCATTCCATCCTCATTAGAATGGCTATTACCCACAAAGTAATAATGCCGGCAAGAATGTGGATAAAGTGCTTGCTTCGGCAGCTCATATACTAAAATTGGAACGATACAGAGAAGGTTAGCATGGCCCCTGCACAAGGATGACACGCAAATTCGTGAAGCGTTCCATATTTTGGGGGGCTGGGGATATAGCTCAGCAGCATAAGTGCCTGCCTGGCAAGTGCAAGGTCCTGAGTTGGATTCCCAGTACCCAAAAAAAAAAAAAAAATGTGGATAAAAAGGAAGTCTTATACACTCTTGGTGGTGAAGTTAGTCCAGCTATTATGGAGAATACTTCGAAGGTCTCTGAAACAACAGAAATAGATCTACCATGTGATCTACCTACCCCACTTCTAGGTATGTATATGTTCAAAAGAAATGAAATTAACACACCAAGGACATAGCTGCACACATGGCAAAGATGTAGAATGAGCTAGATGCTCATCAACAGAAAAACAGAGAAATATAGTACAACACACAGTGTAGTATTAGCCAGAAATGCAAATGAAGTCCTATCACTTGGAGCAAAATGGATGGAGTGGGAGGACTTTAAATGAGATAAGCCAGATACAGGAGGGCAAGTGCTGACTGTTTTCTCAATGTGGAAGCTATTTAAAAAGTCAACTTGAGATGGGACTAGTGATTAGAAGAGAGTGGGAATGGTGCTGGGGATGAGGAGTAGAAAGGGATGGTTGGAGATGATCAGTACCTGCATATGTGGAAACATCACACAGTACCTAAAATGTACAGTCAGTACATAGTGATAAAGGAACATGCTCTGAGAAGTCCTGCACTAAGGAGATTTCATTTATAAGCCCCGTAATCATATGAGCACAGAATACAGTATCAGCAGGTGTTACCTGCTTACGTCTTGTTGCTAGTACTCTCTGGAACCAGTTTTGGTAGAAGCTTCTGAAGAGAGCTTTGTCCTCTGTCCTGTCAGTCTCTCGTGTGCCCGAGCTGGAAGCATCCCCCTCCCACACGGTGGTGGCATCATGCTTGCCCTGTCGAGAGAGTGTTAAACTTGAAGCCAGTGCAGCTCCTTCGCTTGTCTTCCTTTCTGTCCACTGCAGCTCCATCCTTACATTGCCGCTCATTCCCACTTTATTCTCTGCTCCTCATCCAGAAGATAGGGTGTCTTGCTGAGCCCTACCTGAGCCATCGAGTCTGCCGCTTATCCATGCAAAGTGTGCTGTCTGCATCTCCATTCTGCTGTATCCACAAAGTTCATGCAGCTATATCACAGATGGTATTGGTGTATTTTGTAGTGCATGTGTTTTTGCAAGGAACACTCATTATTAAGTATTCTTATATCTATCTTTACGAACCTGTCCTATAGATCAGATTTTTCATTCTTTTATTACAGTGGTCCCTTGGTTCATGACCTTAATTCTTTCCACATTTTTGCTTGCAAACCAAATTGGACAAGAACTTAATCAAATTTCCCCATAAGGTTAACGTTGAAGCTAACCATTGAATTTGATTTGGTTCTCATCCAGTTTGGTTTGCCACCAGAAATGTGGAAAGAATGAAGTTCATGAACTGAGGCACCACTGTATTTTCTTTAGATGTCAAAAGTTAAGATTTTATTATAGAATTAGTTTCTGTCATTGTAGCTTTCTAAGTTATGCCATTTCCTATCTTGCTTGGGCAATCAATAAAGAATATACTGACACCCATACAATAGCTCACTTGCTCCTCAGGATGGAGAGGGTCAGAAATTCTGGAAAGCAAGAATGTTTAATCTGACTTTATAGGCAAATTGAGTTCAGAGAAGACAGGCTTTCCCAGCCTGCAATAGGTGATGTAAAATGTACTGTGGAATTGCCTGCATTGGAATCTCTGTTCTGCCACTTTACATGCAGGTCTCACAGCAGTTATTTATCATGCAGGTTGCAACTGACCCAGGTCAGAACATCCTCGGCCAGACTCTCAGATTGCACACAGGAATCTGTGGTACAGCACAGTTCAGTTAGGACCACTTCTCAGATGCACAGATGTTCCCCCTGTCACACACAGCCGTTAGGATGACATGCAAGTGCTGCCTTCAGTGGTTTCCAGAGCAGAATGTCTACCAGGAACTCATCACCGCCAGTGAGAGCTGTGGAAATGGAGCTGCCCTGCTTTTTGGGTGGACTAGAGATGAGCTAGGTGGTGTTCAGATGGCTGACTCATCCAGTTTCTCTACAATGAGGTAGTCCAGGCAACACATCTTAGTCATTAATAAGAGAGAAGTACTGCTGAGAGCAAAAGAGATTCCTGCCAGGTGAGTACCAACGAATGTGATCCAGCAACTTTTCCTCCACCCTTCCCCATCACAAATCCACTGTTTGACCACTGACTCACCACTATTTGTACAAGATCTGTGTGCCTGTGTATTTAGGAAGCCTTAGGAAAAGCAGGAAATTGCATCCTGATATTGGTAATTATAATCGTATTGGGCAGGCACAAATATAGTTCTTAGTATACTGTTCAGAGAGCTTTGCACAGCCTCATTTTAGCCTCAGAACAGCCCCACAAAGTAGGTACTATTTTTAACCCGCACTTTAGAGATGACAAGACACCAAAAGACAGAGACACTAACCTGCTGCTCAAAGCTGCACAACTAGTAGATAGCCAAGCCAGGATTTGGCTTGAGATAATCCGGTCCCAGCTTTTATCAACTATGCTGTCTTTTAATTATTAGCAAAGGGGAAATATTCTATCCATTTTAGCTATAAACTATACTAATGTTGTACAAATTTAAGGGGCAAGTACTGCTAGAGATAAAAATGAATAACACTGAAAGTATCAATTGAACAGGAAAACATACCATCCTAAATATCAGCACCTTCTATCATAGCTACAAGATAGATAAAGATTATCAGAACAAAAAGGATATATAGACTAAATCCACAGTAACAGCTGGAAATTTTAGTACACAATTCTCAACTAAATAGAAGAAGCAGACAAATAATCACAAGTACATAGGAAATTTGAACAATCATCTTAACCAACAACTGCAGAATGTGTATTTTGATGTCTGTAACACATTCACCAAAGTCAATTGTGTGCTGAGTCATAACTAAGATTCAGCAAATGTTAAAAGATTGAAATCAGATATAGTTTGCTCTCTGACCATCACACAATTAATGTAAAAACCAGTACCAAAGGATAACTAGAAAATCCCCTGGTGTGTTGAAATTAATAACACAATTCTGAATGACTCAAGGTTCAAGGAAGCAATTACAGTTGAAATTAGAAAATGTTTTAATGGGAAACAGTAATGTAATTGTAGCATGCCAAGATTTGTGGGATGCAACCAAAGCAGTGCTTAGAGGGAGATTCATAGCTTTAAATATAAGAAAAGAGTTTGGTACTAGGAATCAAACTCAAGACCTCACACTTGCTAAGCAAAGAAAAGGGTTGAAAAGCTATAATTCTTTATTTCAAGAAGCTGAGGGGAAAAAAAATGAGCAAATTAAGCCCAAAGAAAGTAGATATAATATAGGTTGGACTCAATATAGTAGGAAAGTGGGCATACAATAAAGAAAATTTTTAAAGCCAAAAGTCGATTCTTTGAAAAAATCAATTGCAGTTAAGCATAAGAAGCACCTCAGTACATTTCCTTCATCTCTCGTCCCTCACGACACACTAAATTCTGAATTGGGACATAATTTAACTTTAGTGCAGGGTTTTTTAAGCCAGTCCTCCTCGCACCAAAATGCTTTATACCACAAGTATTGGTCTGTCAGCTCCCCTTTGGACTTTGAGTCTCTGGAAATTCTTTTCTAACTATTCTCCTGTCTCTGTTTGTTCCATGCTAAGCAGATGGCCCAGAAATTAGCCAAAAGCAGGAAGAAGGTGCAGTACAAACAACTTCATCAGCTTGGTGTTATGCCTGTTCTTTTCATTTGTTTATGTTTTGCCTTTTTATTATTTCGTGTTTTTGTTTTCTGCATCCAGCAACTTTTTGTTCAGATTTCTTTTTGAACCGCCCCATAAACCAGCGTTTCTCAAAACACTGTTGCCTCCAGTGGCTGTTTTCTGTTGCTCATAAGTCATTTCACTGCAGAGGAACAACAGGGCGCAGATTGGAGATGCTAAATGAATCCTGTAGTAGCGTGGACGTTCCAGTCATTTAGGAGCAATGACGTGACAGGGACTTGGGTCTGTCCAATTCTAGTTATGTTTGATTTGGGGATTTGTCAGATTGCTGGATGCAAAAAAGAAAACTCGCTAATAACCACACATGTGCAGAGTTCAGCCCTAAATGAATCCGACTGTGCTTTTTTTGGTTGTGGAGCTAGGTGCTTATGAACTACTCTGGGGATGCTGATGCCTCGGGGCTCTGGGCTCTTTCATAACGGGGTGGCTTCAGGAGTGGGCAGCTGCTTCTGTGTTGCTCTGGTGGTGTGTGAACATGCAGACCCTCTTACCAGAACTGCATCTAAATGGCTTCATTTGCACTTGCTATAAACATTGCCCTCCCTCAGCCCAAGCATGGGCAAACTCCAAGAGACTTTCCCCAAGGTCTTGGGTGTGAGTTAGTCACCTGTACCCTTCAGTGTCTAAAACCCTTGCAGAAAGGGCCATTTCCCATCCTTGGTCAGAGTCAGATCTACTACATGAGTTTCTGCTTCTCTAGGGGAAGCAGCAGAGAGCTTTCTGCCTCTTCCCCAGTAGCCCAGAGATGCTGACTCTTGTCCATGTGTCCATCCTGTGTTAGCTTTGGCCTTGGCCGTTGTACCCTGGAGTCTGAGTTGCCGTTCTGGTGACTGTGTCTTGGTGCCTCTGTGTGTAAGCTAGCCTTGCTCGTTCGCCTGGGTCCGGGTAACATGGTGAACTTTCTCTTGGTGTGTTTTTCTTCTTAGGCTCCTGAAGGGGAATCTCAGCCCATGACCGAGGTGGATCTCTTCATCTCAACCCAGAGAATCAAAGTATTGAATGCTGACACGCAGGTACCAGCTGGTTCCCACCCTCTCCAGGGTGAAGCCCAGTAGCATTGTATTGCCGTATATGCCTGTTGCCCCCTAGAGGCTGGGCTGCTAGATAGATTCATGTATAGCACCTGCTGCTGGGTGGGGCTGGACTGTTTCCTTATAACTAATGTGGACAGATAAACCTTTTAAGAAATGTTGTTTAGGGGCTGGGGATTTAGCTCAGCGGCAAAGTGCCTGCCTGGCAAGCGCAAGGTCGTGAGTTCGGTTCCCAGTACTGGAGCAAAACAAAAAAAAAAAAAAGAAATGTTGTTTAATATCACACACATGCCAAATATGGTGGCACACACCTATAATTCCATATCTTCAGGAAGCTGAGGCAGGAGGATCACAGGATTGAGCCCTTCCCCTGCAACTTAGTAATTTATCAAGACTGTGTCTCAAAGTAATACCAAGTGGGAGACCAGGGATATAACTCAGTGTGCAAGCCCTGGATTCAATTCCCAGTACTGCAGAACATACACACACACACACACACACACACACACACACACACACAAAATAAATGTTTGAAATTTCTTGTTTCTTTGTGTGTACCTCAGATCATTTTTGCTCACTAGCCTAGGCAGATGTTCTCAGACCTGGAGCTTCTGCACAAACCTGCCTACAAGGTTCTCCTGCCTCAGCTTCCTGGAGATACTGGGTTGTAAGCATGTGCCATCACGTCTGGCATGTGTGTGATTTTAAACAAAATTTCTTAAAAGGTTTATCTGTCCACATCAGTTATAAGGTCCTTATGGTGAGCCCTAGAGCGCACCCCAAACGTGGGTCACAGGTGGCCAGGCTGCAGGATGATAGACTGTCTGTCCCACGGGTTGTTAGATGCCGTGCCGGGCTCACTGTCTGTTCCTTCTGCCTCTAGGAGACGATGATGGACCACCCTCTGCGGACCATTTCCTACATCGCAGACATTGGGAATATCGTTGTGCTGATGGCGCGACGGCGGATGCCCCGCTCCAACTCCCAGGAGAACGTGGAGGCTTCCCACCCATCGCAGGATGGGAAGAGGCAGTACAAGATGATCTGCCACGTCTTTGAGTCTGAGGATGTAAGGGTGGCTTTCCCTGATCTCCCTTTCGGTGACCTGAACCACCAGTGGGGGACCAGACGCTCTCGATTTCTCAGAAGCTGAATCAGTCTAACTCATCGTACATTAAGCATGTTTTTACTACTGTCTGTTAGCCAGTGTTCTAGACCCAAAGATGTAAGGCTGAATAAAACATAACATAGAAGGTACGCGGTGGAAGGGAGAGAAAAAATAAACATTCTTAATATAAAATTAGGTAAGGGGCTGGGGATTTAGCTCAGCGGCACAGCGCCTGCCTGGCAAGT